GAGTTATACGACTACGGCTATTAGATTATCACGTTACCGAGATTTATCTTCTTCTGCCGGCTCGTTTATGTCAACGAGGTATCGCCAAGGAAGCCCCGCTTAGTTAGAAAACAGGAGGAACACGGCTTGTGGATCGGAGCAGACGAACGGAAACGTCGCTCTCGGTTATATACGTAATTGCTGTGCATCCTGATGGTTACCTCTTTGGTCGGATTACGCTTGTCCGAGCGACATTTCGCTGCGAAGCGTACGAATTAATTCCGCTGGTAAATATTTCAGTCGAAGGTATTAATACCTCGCCAGCCCTCGTGTTTATTAATTACGATCGTCAATATTGCACGGAACCTTTCATACATACACGGAATACGAAACGTCCAACTGATCGCCTTTACTCGAGCGTCTAGAGAGTTATCGGTGAACATGAAATAAGTTGTTGGATTATTTCTAACAACACCCTGTAGAAATAATCAAGCGAGGACAAAAATGCCTCCGCGTTCTTTCTGGATGTGTCTGGTGTTCGTCTTCGAGTCAAGCACTGCACACTGCAATACAATAGAGCAGGGGTCGGCAAACTTTTTTTCCGGAGGGTCAGATACTAAATATTTTTTGGCTTTGCGGGCCAAGAGAGAAAATTGAGATTATTACGTATGTACTGTCCGACAAACCTAAAGTGAAGCCTCTAACGTCACATAGGGCCTAAAAGTGGGAGATGTAGGGGAACTTGCGACGGCTCGCTGTTAGTAAGCCAATAGGGATAGAATAAGGCTATCGCACTTACTCTTCTATGAACAATAGACGACGATCGGGTCTCGCTCGAGCAGTCGATAATTGACCGGAATATTTTCAAAAAAAAAAAAATTAAGTTTACGTCGTGCAGACACCATAAACAGGCGAACAGATGCCTTTTTCTTTTTTTTTTTTACGTGGGGGAAATCCTCATGGACACCCCGCCCCCTGGGGAAAGGGACGGGGCAGTGTCGGACTCTTACCGACTAAAACCCCCACGGCGACCCTTGTCGGGCGCGCCGGTGGGACTCCGGGCTCTCGCGTAGCGAACACTACCGGAGCCCCACCGCGCCTAGGCTTGCGCTCCGACCCGGGGGAGGGGTGCCATCCCCTCCCCGAAACTCCGCCCGCAGGCACTGCGGCACCAGGGAGCCGCGCCCGGTGCCGCCCATCTCTGGACCGCTAACTGGGGGAGCCTGGGTCCCCTCCCAGACTCCCCACGGTCCCGGGGCCTCCCGCAGCTTTTGGGGAGTGTACACTCACCCCCCGCGCGGCGGGCTGCCACGTCACTGGTGGGCGGGGATTTTACTTCCCCGCCCACTGCAGCAGCGCTGTTCTCGCTCAGCGCCGCCTTACTCCGTAAAGGCGAACAGATGCCTGCGCGACGCCAAACGATGTGCATCGTGGTAAACTTAATTTTTTTATCCCATGTTCCCAAAATTTCTCTATTATTTCGATAAGCTTATTTCACAGCTTAAAATTCAAGCAATCCAATGGTATTTTTTTCAAATTATTCTACGAGTGGGAACAGTGTCAAATTAGCAATTGAAACTTTAGCAGCGATTATTGCTGTTTATTGCTGTGAAATGAGCCCAATGTCGAAATATTATCTTTAAACAAAGCCGAAATATTACGGTTAAAGTGACGACAAAATTTTGTCAAATTTTTCAAAATTTTAACATTAAATAAGTAAAAAGTGGCTGTCGGTCTATGGTGGCCCGCTATTTTTCATTGCAGCCAGAAATTTTTTAGCTCCTTAAGCAATTTTTTAATGCGCCGAAATCTACTTTTATTATTCAGGAATAGGAAAAAAATATTTACATTTTAGTTTTCTAACTGTTAAAAAATATTAATACATTTCCTGAGGCTTCCTTTACAATAACAATTTATCGTGTATGAGTTGCTTAGAAATTAACGTCTGCGCTATTAAATATGTCTTACGCGCCAACGTAGGTAAGAGGACAAGGCGACCAAATAATTTTTAGTTTTCCGTTCTTTTATCAGCGTGTTACATTATCGACAGCTGACTTAAATTCGTTTTCCTAAGTCCGCAAGGGCCTGCAGCGTAAGGCCCAAGAGTAGTGAGGATGACCTGAACCGCCTATTTGCCTCCATTTTGCTAGGCTGTGTCGTCAGAGGCTTCACTTTAGGTTTGTCGGACAGTATGTAGGTAGTTAACTACAAATGAAAATTTTTTGACAAATCAGGATAATATTTCATTTAACTGTACATAACTCGCGGGCCATAAAAAAACTGATGGCGGACCGCAGTAAAGACGTTTCCCCTGAGTCCGATAATAAATAGAATATTAACAGTTTACAAAGGCTATTTCATTTCCATAACCTATTTCCAATATACATATGTAATGTATATCGCTGTGCGACGCGCCTAGGCAACGATCGCGGAACCCAAGCCTCAGGGGGCCTTAGACAAGGACGAGCGCAGGCTGCACTTGGGGTGGGGGATCCCAAGGCTTGCACGGTCCCAACGGCCGAAGAAACATATAAAAACGAGGAAAAGCGTCTTACAAGAAATCGAAAGTTTATCGAAAATTCTTTTTTTCTCGAAAACCGGCAACTTCTTCTTCGCATATTGCACGGAACACGTTCGGACAGTTGTGTTTATTGAGTTCCATGCGGTCGCGATAATCCCGCAAACCCAGTCCACGATGAATTAGTTTCTTTCTTTTTTTCAAACGAAATACTTCCTGGTAGTTTCCGTGCGCCGGCGGGCTGTTTAATCCTGGCCGGACCCGTGTGTCGTGGCACGGTTAACAAGCGCCATAATTCACGAAAAAATTTTCCGCGTAAATAATAGTCCGCGTTAAAGCTCCTCGTCGTTGTTTATGAAACATTCTACATACATTACGCGCTGGATATTTCGTTTTGTTAAAAAAACGGAAGGAAATGAGCCGCCGTGGCCGCCTGAACCCGCGGTTCCATAATAGTATGGAAATTTATATTTTCTCTTCCTTTCTTGTTCGCGCGCCGTTTAATGTTCCGGTTTGTTTTTGACACGTGGCTAAACGAATTTAATTACTTTTGTCACGTCCACCGGCAATTAAAGTGCTTTCCAGTCTCGTGCAGCCGTTCTAACCACACCTCTCAAGCCTATTTCAACCTTTTCTATTCGACGCGAACGCTGCGTTAATATTTCCCCTGGACTTTTCAAAGAAACTAATTGTAAGCGATCATTTCGATACGTAGGTAAATTTCACAAAGGGAGACCTCACTGGGCACGTACGTTTCGCGTTTTCACGACACGCAGTAATATCTCGAACGTGACGCGGAAATTCTCTTCGACACGCATACTGCGATTCTTCCGCCGGCGTTTGTTCACACATCGCGACGTGACAACTAGTCACCAATTTTCATCGTTACTCCTCTCAACTCATAACCCAAAGATCATCTTCCTCAATCTCTGAAATAGCCTCATTTTTCCATCCTCGGGTCATTCTCTATTTGGTCATCGTTCCGCCAGTTTTGATAAACTTTCTTTCCCACGTAACGTCGATCTTTAATTGCTCCGATTCAAGTGTTACCCGAATACCTGCGCTCAGTTTCTCGAAACTCAGGCAAATCCGGGCATCGCAGATCGATGGATAGAAAAGAGGTTCGACGTTCGATAATTTCAATATTTCAACAGTCCATCGGAGTTTTATTTATAGATCGTGCCAGTCTACCCAAAACTCCCGCAACTTTCCGTGTTTTCCAGGTCTTTTCGCAGCAGTGAACTAGCGGAACGACAAGCTCATTTGCATCGGCGAGCATCCCGTGAAGCGCTCGCTCGCTCGCTCGCGTGTATTTTCTTTCCGCCACGCGGAAACGTCGGAGATCAAACAGAAACTCGGTTCTGAACCAAATTACGAGTTTACCTATTTATTTGTCGAGCCGTTTCGCCCGTGCACGCGGAAATTCGTGCGTCACTTGTAATCAGAACGTCGCGGTTGTCTGTGCGACGACGAAAACGCGGCCGAGTTTACCTAAAGGGCGATGCTTTCACGAGATCGACAAGCTCCGTTGATTTCGGTTTCCAATCAGATACCTCTGCCTGCCGATAAATTCGATCAAAGGACGCGTAATTAATCTGACATGCATGTCGAACCTAGGAAAATTTTCTTTGCTTCACTTTGGGCTTGCCTTTGAGTTCGAATGTACGCTTCTTACGGAGCTTAAGCGGGGAGAGTCTTTCACCTGAGGTTTAGCGCACACCTTGCTGGATCGTAGCCTCGAAGGCGGAAAAAGTGAGTCCGGTACGGACGCTCAAATACGCATCCGCGCTTAGGAGTGCTACGAGACCTTTTAAATAAGTGCTCTTTTCACACAGTTAAGTTCGAGATCGCGGATCAATTGTCTATTAACTAGACTGCAGATTTCCTTTTGTAAGACTAAGGAAATACAGGCGCTTAAAATAACTGATTGAGAATAACGTCGGTGGCTATTTGCGATATCGCGTGGGCCGCTGCCCTTTTCCCCGTTTTTATATGCTTCTTCGGCCGTTGGGACCTTGCAAGTCTTGGGGTGGGGGTGTCTAAGGCCCTTTGCGGCTTGGGTCCCGCGGTCGTTGCCTAGGCGCGTCGCACAGCGCCTTACACTTCGGAGGGCCGGCCTGGCCACAGTAGTGGCCGTGAACAAACTTGGAAACTTTGCAATGGAAAAATCCCGGCCCTCTAAAGGTTAAACAATCTTTACGTTGTTTTTTATAAATATAGAAATTCCAACACTTTGCATCCAACCAAAGACAGATTTACGACTGTGAATTTTTAACCCTTTCGCTACGGCAGATTTCAATCGCAAAATCTTTTTGTGAAATTTGTTTTGTTCAATTCAGGTAGAAGTGTGCAAAGAAGAGAAATTAAGGATTAAATTACGGTGAAAGTCCGCGAAAAGCAAAATTGGCGCTAAGGACACTGTTTCTTCAAATTTTCCAAATTTTTATAGGCGTCAACAACAGCGAAAGGGTTGATGGAATAATAAAAAGTCCAGCATACCTGGTTATTTCGGCGTTATTTTGACGCTGTCGACGTTCAAGTGGACGTCAGGCTGAATCTTGAATTGTTTGCCAGTGGCAAGCTTCTCGGAGGATGTTCCAAGTGCCTCTTTGCTCTTCGAACTTGGGTGAAAGTTACCGCTGAAGAAAGGAGCCAGGAATTCGACGGGCAGGGGAAAGATGATGGTCGAATTTTTCTCCACGGATATATTGCTGAGCGTTTGCAAATAACGCAGCTGTTGGAGAACAAACCGAAGTGTAGAACAGCTCTCCTACCTTTTGCAATACCGGGGAATTAATTTTTATTCACGCTCGCGTTTTATTCCCTTGTAATAATTTCACCAGCTCGAAATGGTTCGCATCCCAGGGGCTTAATTTAGCGGTACTGGCTAATTAACGAAATGTG